ACTCTCACTCTCAATCCAAAGGAAACATTTCTACAAGTTTTAAAAGTCCAACCAAGAGTGTTGATGCTGCCCCTAGTGAAACATTTGTGGAGAAATATAGTGATAAGGCAGTGAAAAAGAGTAGTGGTGAGTTTGATGATGAAGAAGTGGAAACTTCTAGTGAACATATGCATAAAAAGTCAATAAAGAAGACAAAGTATATTTGCAAGCCACTGGAAAAAAATAGTGGATGATGATATAGAACCTGGTACCATCAAGAAAGCAAAAGTTGGTGAGTATGTGAGTTCTGAGAAAAAGAAGTTGAGAAATCAGAAAGTACTTTAGGGCCGCACATTTGCCTCTGACACTGTAGAGCTTGCTGGGATGAGACATTCCAATAATGGACTCATTTGTTTGCAAATAATGTTCCAAAAGTATATGAGGAGGAGGTGCAGAGTTTTTATGCCGGCCTCTTCATAGTTGAAGACGATCAAATCTGTGTGTTGGTAAATGAGATGGACATATAGATGGACTCAGCTGTATTGGGATCAATTCTGGGTGTTCCTACTAAAGGTATGTCATCTGTTACAAATTTCAGAAATGTCATTGTAAAGGATAAGGCAATCCAGCAAGGGGAACAGGTGCATAAGAAAGCACTCCTTCTAGTATATCAATTGCTTTTTGAGATGGTTAACAAAGTGTTGCTTCCCCACGCTGAAAGGAGATCTAATACTTCCAAAGCTGACCTGCTCCTTATGGAAGCCATGGATAATTTTACCACCATCAATCTGCCTGGGATAATGATTGAGCATATGTAAAAGGTGGCAAACTTCAAGAATGGAAACCATGGTTTACCGTATGGGTCTCTACTCACAAAGGTCTTCGAATTCTTCAAAGTGCCTCTGGGACAGGCCAAAGTGGGTAATAAAAAGCAAACCTTCTCCAAGATCACTCTTGAGGAGTGTGAGTGTATTGAAAAGGTCGGAGGACTTGGAAGAACATCTACTATCTTTCAACTGATAAATGCTCAAAATAGTGCCACAGAGGAGATCCGGAAGTTGAAGGCTAGGAACGCGATTCTTGAGAGTCAGCTCATTCAGCTATAAGAGGCACCTAGTTCCAGTAATTCTCATAGCTCAGTGGTTGCCTGCCTGACAAAGCAGAATGTTGAGCTTAGGAAAAAGGTGGAGGACCTAAAAGAAAGACTGCTCAATGAGAAAATATTCGTGAATGTTCGCACATCTTGTCCTCCAAACCCTTGCTTCCTCTTCCAAGCCCTCTTCCTCCAGCGTCCCCTAATGGAGTGTCCTCTCAATGTCCAGTTTCCAGTGTCTATATTTTAAGTGTGCTTTGTTGATGCCTTTGTTTTTGGCACTTATTTTTGTTTTATTTTGAAATTGTGGATAGTAATAATGATTCTGCTCCCGCCTGTAATAGTTCAAATTTGGTTAATGCAAGTCTTTCCCTTTTGCTGTTTATGATATTGCTCTCTTGTCTATGTCTTCTATAACTGGAATTCTGCCTTATTATGCTATTTTCATATAACTGGAATTCTGCATGATTTCTAGATTTTTGTATGCTATGTGCATTCTAGGTTTTCGTGTGCTATGGGCACACGCCTTCTGCATGGGTCGGGGCCCATGCAGAAGGAACCGCCTAAAAATTTTTCGGGCCATCAAAAATAACCTAAGAAATCATAGTCACTGCCACGCCATGATCTTTCCTTATTTTTGTTGTTTTAGGGTCGTAAAACTAGAATTCCACAGCCGGACAAGATTTTCGAATGCAATAGCTCGCCTTCTGCATAGGCTCGGGCCCCCGGATCTGGACCACCTTAAATTTTTTGGGCTATCAAAAATGACGTAATGAACCATACTCACTGTCTCACCATGACCATTCCTCATTTTTTGGCCTTTTAGGGCCATAAAACTGGAATTTCGCCATCAGACCAAATTTTCGTGTGCCCATACCTTCTGTGTATTATATCCACTTTTTCGTGTGTATTAGTACATGGTGATTTTATAGAATTATTTTGACGGACTATGATTGATTTGAACTTTTGTACGTTCATAGAAAATGGACTAATGACCAATACTTATTGCTTTTTCATGACTTTCGGGTGTATTTTGCGGCGTTTTGTGGTATGAATTTGTGATTACAACCACTTTTTTGTATATATTAGTAAATACTGATTTTTGTATAGTTTTTTTGGTGGACTCCGATTGGCCTGAAATTTATAGGTAACATGGTCTAGTGACCAATATTCATTGCTTCGTCATGACTTTCAGATTCATTATTTGTGTTTTGGGTCATGCAATACGAATTTTTTATTATATCAACTTTTTCATGTGTATTAGTATATGTTGATTTTGTAAAACTTTTTTGACAAACTCAACTGCACTGAATTTTTGTATGTCCATAGAAAATAACGCAATGGCTAACATGTCTTCGCCATTATTTTGGGTTCATTTTTACATTTCGTGGTCCCGCAATATGATTTGTGATTATATCAACTTTTTCGTATGTATTAATACATGTTGATTTTGTAGAAATGTTTAAAACGGATTCCGATTGGTCTGAATTTTTATAGGTCCATAAGAAACAGCCTAGTAACCAATATTCATTCTTTGCTATGATTTATTTTTTTAGGTGTGGGTTATGCTATACAAATTTATGATTATATCAACGTGTGTATTAGTATATGCTAATTTTATTTTTACCCTTTAGTATCTGTGTAATGGTTGAGTACTTACCACCCTATCACGACCTGTGGTAGTTAATTAAACGTACTGCTATGTTATATAAGTCAATTACCGCGCTATTTATTCTTTCCAATTTATTTTTCAGCTTGCACACGGTTCAATTACTTGTCGTAATACATATTTTCTTCCTCAACACATATACAAAGGAATTTTGATGATAAACAGTTAATAGGTGGGGAAAAATAATTTAGTTTTTTCTAGTTTCTGCTGGATTCTTTAAAATTTGTTTCCCATGATAAATTTTAACTTCATTAGTTGCATAACTTTCTATATGATGGACCTTTGTGGTCCGTCCTTTTCGCGCACAGCGGGAGCTTGGTGTACCGTACTGTCTCACTTTTATTTAACGATACGGGGCATCAACTTGGAGACAGAGGCAGACTCAGGATTTGAGCACAGCGGGGGCACCACTGTATACTAATCACTAACGATAAAATTCGGCATGCAACTCTTTGAAAACTTAATGATTATAATGACTTATCATCCAAGTATAAACAAAAAGTTCTAAAGAAATTAAGAAAGCACCGAACAAAGAGAGATCTTCGCAAAGTGGGTGTTATGGGAAGGAAAAATGTTTGATTAAGCATGTTTCGCACTTTAAAATTTCTAGTTTATTTTTAATAAGATCATTCAGCAAACAAGGGACTTTAAGACGCAGCAAAATCAGTTCTTCCGTCCGCCTTTTTGTTTCAAGGGGCACAACTAAATATTTAAGGGGTCTTATATATATGTACAAATATATATAACATATATATACAATGTTTTTGCCGAAACTAACGGGGTCCCGTAACCCCTCTACATGCAACATAGGTCCGCCTCTGCTTGGAGACTGTCACATCCTTTGATCTCTTCAACTTCTTTTTTAATGATCAGAGCTGAATCCTGAAATGACTTACAGTGTTGGGATATCAACAAAGCTAGAAGGGATATCTTGAAGTCTAAAGTTGTTAAGTAAAGAGAAATTAATGATACCATGGACAGAATGTTGGATGAGCAAGCAGTGACATCCTGCCAAAGTTGGAATCTTATGCAATGAAACTGGTTATCCTTATCTAATAATTCCATACTCAAAATCATTTTGTGAATAGATTAAACAAACAAAAACGGCTATTCTCCTCACATACCCTCAAAAAGAAATTACTTCAGAATAAGCAGAATTTAAAATTTTATACAACATAATTTTTAAATATTAGTAAATCGTGATCTTTTCTTCCATGAGGCATATTTTTAAAATCAACTTGAACTTGGAGAGAGTCACATCCTGTGATATCTTCTACTTCTTTTTTAATGTTTAGGGCTGAATCCTCAACTGACTTCATGCAGCCCCTCAATCTGATCAACTTCAGTGTTTGGATATCCGCGAAGCTAGACGGGATCTCTTGAAGATACTCACAACGACGTATAACCAGTTTCTCAAGCACGGGAAAGGATGCCTCTGAGGAGCGCCATTCGGTCATATGAACACCCCTTAAGATCAAATATTTGAGTGCTGGGAACTTGTAATCACCTACATCCCAACATCTGATATCTTTATCCTTGAAGAGTATTCGACGTAGTTTGAGTCTCTCAAGATTTCGCAGTCTTGCAATATTTAAAACAATTTTTTCTGTTAGGATAATGCTATGAATGGACAAATCCTTTAGATTTGAGGGGAAAACAAGACAGCTGCCCCTTCCGATTCCAAAGTCATGCGTCTCTGGCATGTCTGAGAAGCCCACTTCGAGAGATTGAAGTGGGAGTTCTTCAAGATTTGGCATATCAAATTCTGGTGGGGAGAAGTCACAATATTTAGGTTCAAAAATGTGGAGCTTGAGTTGTTCAATATTTGGAAATCTCCACCAGAACTCCGGAGTCATATCAGCCAAATATATACAGCATTTCCCGAAAGACTTCAAGTTCGGTAACACAGTTTGTGAAGATTCTTCGAAAATTGCTCGATCATTCTCTTCCCATGCGAATTTAATTTCCTTGATATCCACATGCCTTAGCTTCTGCATTTTCCAAAGACCAGCAGGGGATATCTTACTTCCTAATGAAATAGGTTGCCACCCCACCCGCAAAGTTTGTAGATCGAGTAGGTGTGATACCCACGGGAAACGAAATTGTTGGGTATGAATTGCAAGATACCTCAAGTGAGTTACTGCTTGCATTGCCCTAGCCCAAAAACGTCCCTCCAAGTAGACATTCAACAAATCCAACACCCGAATAAGTCTAATGCAATCAAGTAAAAGGACATGATTTGTCAAACTCAGNATCCTCAAAACCAACTACTTCCTCTTCCATTGATGGAAGACTATGTTTGGTAGAAGCAGTTGCATGAGCAAGAGATCTTTCACCACCCTGAATGCTCTCCATGTCAATTAGCTTTGTCTCTCTTCGGCTGCTAGAAATAAATATTACTATGTTAGATCGATTGGCAAAGAGTTGTCGCGTAATGTTCAAATTAAATCTTATGAAGTACCTTTTCTTCTTGATTCCCATGTTGTCCCTGTACAGAAACTTATTCTTTCCCCCTTCCCTGTTGTTGAAAGACATTCTATTCTTCACGTCAAATTAAAATAAGACCAATTGGATAAGAGGTAATTCTTTGTTTGGAAAGTCCCACTATATGAATGTGAACTATGGAGGATGATGAGTTTGAAGTAGAAGCCGAGTGAAATCTGGAGCAAAGTATCAGGTTCAGATGACTTCAAACTGGATTGAGCGGGATGCCAACCCAACCTCCAAAAACAATTTGAAAATGGTTTCAAATTAACGAGGTGTTTTCACATATACATAACATATGGATTGATGGCATATTACGAGTATCCTTTTGTTATATGACATTTATTCATGAAGATTAATAAAATGTAATACAGGAAATCATAATAAAACTTATGAGATCTTTGTTAGGCCATTCTTTTTTTTATTCAAATTCTAATTGATTAACGGAAGATTATTTCCTCGAAAATTAAAGAATATGCTAGTTGGTCTATTGCTCATTAACTGAGTGATATTCTTTACCTTATGTATAATCCTTTTGAATTAATAATCTACAATAGCATCCTACTACTCCAAAAGATAGTAACTTATATCACTCTATAAATCACCACTAGTTTTGTATGATTAAATCTTTTTTAACTGAGCTACCAATATTGCACTCAATAAATAAAAAAATGTCATTTCACTCTCTTAATACATGCTGAGAACCCTCCAACTTTGTATCACATCTATCTAGGGTTGTTCATTTGGATCGGATATCCGAAATCCGAATCGATCCGTTCAATTTCGAATTTCAGATTGGATCGGATTTCAGATTGTGTTTATTAAGATTTCGGATTTCTAATCGGATTCGGGTTAGTATAATTTTAATACCGATCTGATCTGATCCAAAATGCAAAATTATTAAGGCATGTATAAATACTAAACTATAATTTCGTATAATTAATACTTCCTTTACATTTTCCTCTAAGTTATTACCTTTACAATCGATGGATTTAGCTATATTGGCACCATAATACTCTCATAATTGCATAAACATGAATTTTTCTTACTGTATTGCCTCTTTTACAAAGAAAATATACATATGAATTTGCAACTTTGAGGTATAATAATCCGATCCTATCCGAAATCCGATCCAAACTTTAAAATCAGATCCGATATTAATTCGGATTGCATTTTCTAAAATCCGAAATCCGAAATCATTAGCAAAGCATAAACATCAGACTAATAAAGATTTTAAAAAGAATAAAAATCATTACATTAAATTAAAAAAAAAACAGGCTCAAGAAATAGGTCAGACTAAAAAGATTTTATTTTATTTTTGAAAAAGGATCCATACATAGGCATAAGCAGAGAAAATCTCACCTTGCACTAAGAAAAGCCGCTGCAGACAAGATCAAAGTCTTTGCTTTAAGTCTTTTTCCAGTTTACTTAAGGCATAGAAATGAAGGGGAAGACTAAAAGTCTTTGCTCAAGTCTTTTTCCTTACTTGTTATGTGGAGTTGCATTCCTATTGATTGCTTTAGTTGAAAAAGACGAGGTCTATTCAAATTACGCGGACGGTCTTATTTTAAACTTTTATAAAAATAATAAGTTTAATTTTTTTTTTTCGGAAAGTAGAAAAATCTTACGTATTAATGTATTTGTTTACCTCGAAAATACGAGTAACAATTAAATTTGGTTAGTATTTTTAATAATATATGATTTAGTTCAATACCAATTAATAATCAAGAAATATAAAGTAGAAATGTGATTTAGTTCAATACCAATTAATTATCTATTTCTTCATATTGGACTCTATTTGCTAAATTATTAATGTGTCAGTCCTTGTTCTACTTGTTTAACTCTTGAATTATGGTGGATGAAATATTTTAATTAGTTGTCTGAATGTATATTTACTCTGCAGATTTTTTGTTTTTAAGTGGCTATTAAAGCTCTACTATAAAATATTTTAGGTGTCTGAATGTATATTTATTCTGCAAATTTTCTATTTCTAAGTGGGCCCTGCTCTAAAATATTTAGTTGTCTGAATGTATATTAATCAGCCTAGTACTGATGCTTCATTTTTTTATTTATTAAAAGAAAACCAACAGCGTTACTCGTTTTTTTCGAATTATTACTAAATTGCTAGTGGCCAACCGGTTACCGGTGTCTGAATAATTAGAATATATAAAGACCATTCCCTATAATTAATGTTTGATCTTAACACGAATCAATTAATTGGATGTCCCAACTTATGTCTTCCATTCTATTTATTTATTTATTTATTTATACTCTTCACTTCACCTTTACTCGTTCACTATAATAAAAATATATTTACTTTTACTTGTTTATTTTAATAAATCAAGAAAAAGATAATTTTTTTCTTGTTTTACCCTTATCATTAATTTCTCATTTTCATAATTATTTCCCGAGATTCTTTGAAATGCTATTCCCTCCTCATATTATCAGTCGTAGTTATTAAAAATAGTTGTCTCAAATTATTTATCATTTTAGAAGTTCAATAAAAAAAATCTTTTTTACCCCTAGTATAATTAACCTTTAAGACTACAAGTTAACATCTCTATTATGGATAATTTTATTCAAATACCAATGAAGAAAATTTAAATATTAAGACATGAATAAAAATAATATAATCAAAATCCCATTTTATTAATTTTTTTAAGGAGCGTTTATAAGAGAATCATAATATATATGAGATGGAGGGAGTATCATTTTGAGGGTTGTAAGGTAAAAACATACAACAATTATCAAACATCTCTGGTAAATAGTAACTAAAGCGAAGCTTGCGTTTATATTCTTGCTTAATTATCAAAAAAAGAAATTAAAACAGAAAGGAAGATGTGGGTGTAGTGTTGAAATATGTAGTAGAAAACCTGTCGGCGATAATAAAAGAAACTTGGAAACTGATTGGTGGCGCAAAGGAACATTATGCGCTCTAAGTTGTTTTTTTTTTTTTTTTAGTGGAAGATTTTAGGACCACCAGTTTTAATAATTATCTTTTTTAATTTTATAAACTACCGCATCGATATTATATTAAAAGTATTATATAAGACGAAGAATAATTAAATCCTTACTTCGGCGATGATAATTTGGTCTATGAAAATTTATTTGTACAAAAAAGCCGGAAGAGTCGAGATCACATGTCTCTTTAGGAAATCCTTAATTTTTTCAAAATAATATAAGTACTATGATGATGGGCTATAATTACGTATTTTAGTCGCTTATTACACTCAAATTTACTGCACTTTGATTGAGTTTGAGCTTTAATCGCTAGTGTCTTGCACTAACTGTGTTTTTATGCCTTGTAGGAGTGATTTCGAGTTATATAGATGTCATGGAATGAATTCAAGTAATTTGGAGCTTTTAGGTCTGAGTAAAAGCTCAAGGAATTAAGCTGGGATCATGTTTGGGGGTCAACGGATGATAGTTAGAGCGAACGAAGAATCGAGTAGGCATATTGCGCACTGTCTAGTAAAATGGATATAACTTTTTGCTCATAATTCCATTTGTTCTTCATAATATATGGTTGGAAATCTAACTCAAGGACTACAACTTTCATGTTTTACGTTTTCCCAAATACAAAACGGAACAGGGCGAAAAGCGCGATATTTGAGCCAAAACGAACGAAACCGGGCAATGTGCGAATTTGGCTTGTGGCACCAAAAACAGTATGCACAAATAATGGGGCGCCGTGTAGGGCGCCGGTGACGTGAATTTTATCCTATTTTGCCTGGGACATGGTTTATTCGGCCCTAGACCTATCCAACACGTATAAAAGCAAGGCTAAACCTATTTTTGAAAAGAGGACGCCACTTTTGAGGATATCTAACATACTTTGAAGGGAGTTTCACGTGGAGGAACGCACACCACGCTTGGAAGAGGCTTCTAACTACTTTTTCTTCTCTTCTCTTCCTTTAATTTTATAGTTCATTAGTTCTAGAGTTTTGGGTGCTACATGAACGTTGTAGTTTGAAGCTTGATCAATTGTTCTTATTATTTTATTATATTGGTTTATTTATTCAATCTTGCGCTTAATTATTTGATTTCTTGATCACCAATTAAATACTATCTACGAATCTAGGGTTGAACTTAGGAGAGGGAATTATAGATTGCATATAAGATTGAGTAAAGCAAGATCTTAACTCTTGGGGGCGGATTTGCGGTTAGGATAGGAATATACCTAATCGCCTTGCTTGGTTATTATACGGGAATTATAAATGCGTTCTTGTTAATTCTAATTCCATAGGAATATAGGCGTTAGATTAGCTTGAATAGGCGGGTTGTACTTCGAGAGAAGGCTACGAGCAATATTAACCCCGTCAACTAATAATAAATCAGAGAAATTAATTAGATGATTTAAGTGAAAAACTCAACGGTATTGTTAGCTAACCCATAACTCTAGAATATTCTCTCACATTTAATTCGTTGTTAATCTTGTCGTTGTTTTCTTTAATCTCCTTATTTGCAACTCTAGATTAATTTTAGTTAAATATTCATACGTTAGGATTCTCTTGAATAGATTAATTGTTTTAGTTTAATTTAGTTGATAGTTAATCACGAGTCTCTGTGGGTATGATAGCTGGACTTTACAATCCTATATTACTTGTCGACCACGTATACTTGCGTGTGAGTTTGGGAGCAACAAGTTTTTGGCGCCGTTGCGGGGGACTTAGAAATTAACTAGTCTACTAGATTAGATTTTTACTCTTTGTCTATTCAAGTCTTTAAATTTTTATTTTAGTTTAATATTTATTATCTTTGTTGATATGGAGTCTTAGAATGATAATTGGTCGAATATTGGTTATTCTTATTATGGTGATCCTTGTCCATATTGTGGAGGACCACATTTGTGGCAAAATTGTGAATCTCAATCTTATGGGTGGAATATTTGTAATATGTGTGGTGGTCAAGGTGACCATGGGGATGATTGTCCTAATTCTTATTATAATGTTTCTAATAATATTTATGAGTTTGATAGGAGCAAGGAAATGGAGGATATGGAAAGCATGACTCGTATTATGGACATGATGAGGCAAGTAGCCGAGCAACATGACATGATAATGAGGCAAGTAGTCGAGCAGCAAGATGAAAATCGAAAGGCTATACAAATAATTAGTGCAGCAATCATGAGAATGAAGGTCGAGGCGGAGGAAGTAGCTGAAGAGAGCGAGTTCCCACTAGAAGATAATTTAGAAGAAGCAGATATAGTTAGCCAATCTTGGCTAGAGGAACAAGCTAAACTTATAAAATCTCATGAGTTTCTCCGTGATGGTCTTTCAAATATGACAGAACAACTAATAGAAGGAAGAACTGAGCTCAAGCAAGAGATAAACCAATTTGGCTCAGATATCCATGACTTACAGGCTCAATTGAATAAAAAGGTTGAGGCGTCTGATGCTCTACAACCAATTTTTATGGATACTGGCCAGCTTGTGGAGCGGAAAGAGGAATTCCAACTATTCGACCAAAATATTATTAATGATGCCACGGTTGACGAAGAGTGCAAAATTGAGTATGTCAAAAGTAATGCAATTTTAGAGTTGGAGCGTATTGGACCTCATTCTAAACACTTTTCAACGTTGTGTTTGGTTGGTGATATGGAAATTGATCCAGTCGAGCATATGGAGGAGTCAATGGATGAGGAACAAAGTGTTTATTTTCTGAAATTTGCCACACCAAGGAGACAAAATGACATCCCTCACTTAAAGGCCAAGAAGTGCAAGATGTGTTACCTATTGCTTGTTTCATTTATTTTCACACCACTGCCTCATGAACGTGACAGAAAATTTGATGTAAAATTGGGGGCGCAATTCATATCTTCTAAGTGGAAGGAATAGTGGTGAAAGTGATGGAGTCGTGCCGCGACGTTAAATCAAGCGTTTGTTAGGAGGAAACCCAATTCTATTTTTTTACCTTTTTTATTTTTTTATTATGTTATATTTGTAGTGTTGTTTTTGTATTTTGTAGGAGTAAAAGCATGGATTCAAAGCCAATAGGTGAGTGCAAAAGAGAGCATGTAGTTGAAACTGAGTGTGAGGTACCCGCACAAGGGATCATATCTGGGAGAAGTCTGAGTATCCCGTCAGCTGCTAATTCTTCGGCCTTTGGCCTACCAGGGAGTCTCTTTTACCCTCTTATTATTTATAGTGTGCATTGAGGACATTGCACAATTTTAAGTGTGGGGTGAGGAGATTGTCTGAGTGACTTTCTATGCTATTTTAGTTGTGTTAGTTTAATTGAATAATTTTTTTTTTAGAAAAAATGGAAAATGAAAAAAAAATTGGACTTTTCCCGACGATGGATCTCCTAGACAGTTTTCTTGAGGGATTTAAGTCTAAAGAAAAAGGACAAAAAGATTTTCTTGGTAGGTAGTGTAGTAATTCCCCCTTGGTTTTTCTTTGTGTCGCGGTTCTTTTCCAAGGGTTTTGTTTGAACCGGGTGTAGGTAGTTTTTTTTAGGAGAGAAGCCATGGTGATGTGAATTGAATTGAAGCAATATCTC